TAATTGAAAACAAATTTGAAGCTCTCTTATTTCTTTTTTGCAACAAAGACATTTTTTTCTTTTTTCTATAAAAAAGCATATGTAAAATGCAGTTGAAAGCATATATCCATCCCACAACCGTACCGAAAAAATGCATAATGGCCAAAAATAAGAGATTCTGAACCTGTGCACTAGGCACAAGGGAGGATTTTCCTAAAATATTTGAAATGGATCGTAAGAGGAAGCATTTCAGGTATTTTCAGTTGTTAAAATTACAATGCTCTGTTTTTATTCTGTCTAATATACTCAGATACGCCACAGACATAACAAATTCATGAAAGAATTTTCTGGATTGTAATAGCCTTCAAACTTTGGCTCTGCTTTACATAGGCATTTACATAATCTAGGTGTAAGAAAAAAGGGAAAACTCAGTAGAAGGTGACATAGAAGAATGAAGGAGGAAAGAAGAGAACAATTTTACCTTAAGGAAAGTACGCAGTTATGAACTTTTATTTTCTTATGCCCTGTATAATTTAAGAGTTTCAATAATTGAAGAACCTTTGTGCAATTTTTCGATTCCTGGTAATGCTGTACACCTCCTCTGAATCAAATTTATAAAAATACCAGCTAAAACTATATTTTTGTTATATTCTTTTTCAAAAACTAAAAGAGCATCCGATGGTACTAATTGTATGAACTTAAATTAATAATATTTTTGGGTGCATTGCCTATGTCCTTTTAAATGCAAAAAAATCTTTTGCATATATACTTTTTGTTCGCCTGACCACTGCATCATGAACTGTCACTGTAGGATCGATCCCGATGTTCATTCTGTAGCACATTAAACATACATATTCATGATGTAGAGTATTTGCTGATTCTCTGGTTTATTTTTTTTACGATCTTGTCTTGAGAGTACATTTCTGAACTTAAATTCAAACTGTTTTCTCAACGGTAAATTATATAAATTATACTTTCTGATACTATATATACATTCGGAACAAACTCGAAGTACATGTATTTAAGATGTAAATTACATTCTGAATATTCTCAAACATGCGCATATCAAGGAATTTTTCCCAGGGGTGGGGGTGGGGTGGGGGGGTCCATCCCAGTCCCAAAAAAATCCCACCCAGAAATTTCTTGACAAGAAAAACCTATGTTTTGTGGTCGTGATGGTGGTGGTGGTGGTGGGGGCGTTGCGGTGTGGGGGTGGGGGTTGTAGCCTTTTACTTCTTAAGCTTTGTATGACTTTTCATACCAGCTTAACGGGGGCCGCGTTTTCTGTAGGAGGGCTGGTGGGGTGGGTCCAAGGTCAATTTTAGTTGCTTTAGAATATACATTAAATAACTAATTCCGAGGAGGTCTGCTCCCCCCCCCCCTTTAGATACGCGCATTTTAAAACACATAAGATATGCCAAAAAAGAAGATTAACATCGCAAAAAAAAAATTCACACGAATTGAACTGTATAAGACTCGCAGAGGGGGAAGGGGGGGGGGGAGGGTCGGTATTGTAGAGTAGGCTTTCCCCTCTAAAACCTTTCCTCCCAGAAAATTGGTTCTAGAGTAGGATTTCCCTCGGAAAATAGGCTTTAGAGTAGGATTTCCTAACGGAAAAATGATCTAGAGTAGGATTTCCCCTACGTGAGAATGTAAATTCCCCCAGAGCAAATGTCCCCCAATAAAATATTATGGCTGTACTTATGTTAAGAGGGGGAATGGGCTACACATTGTTACATGTGTTCTTCCTTGAAAATGGTGACCAGATGTTTTGATTGATTGATTGTATGTAGTTTTACGTCCCATTCGAGAATTTTTTCACTCATATAACCACCACATATCGGTGAAGGGCTTCAAATTTAGACTTTTACTTGACACTCAGGGCCATTGAGCAGAGCGGGATCTTTATCGTGCAAACACCTGTCGTGAGACAGGGCCTTGGTTTTTAAGATCCCATCCTAAGGACCTGCAACTTTCACTTCAAAGTTCGGAGCGCCTGGCGAAGAACTGTACTGTTGCTACCTATTTTTATCGACTTAGGTCAATTGCGGCCGAGATTCGAACTCAGGGGCTACCAATCACAGAGCGAGCGCTCTACCGACTGAGCTACCGTGACGGCCTTCCAGATGTATAAAAACATACGAAGAATGAAAAATGAAAATTTTTTCTCAGCAACTGTCCATCGATTTTTTAAAGCATTAAAATATTACTCTTTTCATGTATAATATAACAAGATAACTACTTATTCGATATAACTTGATAATTAACGTCATATATGGCGTAATTTTGATAAGTTTTGACTAACTAAAGTTAAAGAAATCTTCCTATTTGTTTTATTTTTTATGCCCCGCCATGAATATGGCCGGGGCATATAGTGTTTGTCATGTCCGTCTTCCGTCCTTCTGTCCTTCCGTTTGTCCTTCCGTCACACTTTGCGTTTAGCTCTGTTCAAAGCTCAGTTTCAAAGAAACTATCCAAGATATTTTTATCAAACTTCATATGCTGATAGATATTGATGAGGGCTATGCAACTGCATCAACATTTTTTGACCTTGACCTTTCCTTTGACCTTGACCTCACTTTTCTTAAATTAGTGTTTAGCTCAGTTTTAAAGATACCATTCAAGATAGTGTAATCAAACTTCATATGTTGATACATACTGATGTAAGCTATTCAATTGCATCAACATTTTTTTGACCTTGACCTTTATTTTGACCTTGACCTCACTTTTCTTAAATTAATGTTTAGCTCTGTTTTAATGAAACCATTCAAGATATTTTTAACAAACTTCATATGCTGATACATACTGATGAGAGCTATTCAACTGCATCAATATTTTTTACCTTGACCTTTCCTTTGACCTTGACCTCACTTTTCTTAAATAAGTTTTTAGCTCAGTTTTAAAGATACCATTCAAGATAGTTTTATCAAACTTCATATGCTGATACATACTGATGAGAGCTATTCAACTGCATCAATATTTTTTGACCTTGACCTTTCCTTTGACCTTGACCTCACTTTTCTTAAATTAGTGTTTAGCTCAGTTTTAAAGAAACTATTCATAATATTTTCATCAAACTTCATATGCTAATACATACTGATGTAACCTTTTCAACTGCATCAACATTTTTTGACCTTGACCTTTCCTTTGACCTTGACCTCACTTTTCTTAAATTAGTGTCAAACTTCATATGCTGATACATACTGATGAGAGCTATTCAACTGCATCAATATTTTTTGACCTTGACCTTTCCTTTGACCTTGACCTCACTTTTCTTAAATTAGTGTTTAGCTCAGTTTTAAAGAAACCATTCATAATATTTTCATCAAACTTCATATGCTAATACATACTGATGTAACCTTTTCAACTACATCAACATTTTTTGATCTTGACCTTTCCTTTGATCTTGACCTTTCCTTTGATCTTGACCTCACTTTTCTTAAATTAGTTTCTGAATCAAATGTCATATGCTGATACATACTGATGTAAGCTATTCAACTGCAGCAATATTTTTTTACCTTGAACTTTCCTTTGACCTTGACCTCACTTTTCTCAATTTGTGTTAAAATGTTGCATTACTAATATACCCTTGGCGGGGCATTCATGTCCTATGGACATATTTCTAGTTTATATAAAGATAGGTCTTTCCTGTAAATTCCACAATTTAAATCAATCGCGTTTCATAGATATTAGAAATTTAAAACAATAACTGATTTATTTCCCGACTCCGTATTTAAATATCAGATACAGTTTTAAATCAATTTAACTATAGAAACGTGTGGTTATTTAAGTTTTAAATCAGTGAAAATTTTAATTTGAACGTAAATAACAAATATCATGTTCATCTACATTCAATCTCGAATTTTTTTTTTTTTATTTTTTAGCTCAGATACTCCATTTATAGCTTTAAATTCTATTGACGGGATAAATATCTGTATAAGGAGATGTCTAACTCATTATGAAATAATTTATTCATTCTAATGAGATACTAACTCAAACCATTCTTTCGTTCATTGGATTCAAACAACATACAAGTATTAAAAGGTATACATAAATTACTTTCTTTGAAAGCAAACTGAATCTTTAAACTTTAGATAGCCTTGATATACTGCACATTAAAAATGTGTGACAAATACAAGTAACGCTGCGCCATTAGAGGTGTTAAGGCTTCAAATCTGAGGAGTTTTACATTTCTTTTGAAAGCTTAACATTCGGATTGAGACTCCATGATTGGAAAAACATGCTAAGAAAATTCTTACTACAGTTGAACAGTATATAAGTCACAAAAATATTGCGGTTGTAGTTTATTGACTCGATAACTAGGGCGGAAATCCTACTCTGAGAAAGAAAGAGGGGGAAGTCGGGCTCTTGTGTGAGATTTCCCCTCGGGGAAAATCCTATACTCTAGCTACATGTACGTACAATTTTGGGGGGGGGGGGAGCTGGCTATGGGGGAAATCCTACTTTTCAACACCGGTAAAATATCTCACCAGTAAAGATCTTTTAGAAATGAAATATGCTAGATAAAAAAATAAAAAGAGTGATTAAAAAAATATCACACATTCACACAGTCAAATAACAATGCATGACGCCAAGATCCCGGTTGGGGGATTTTTGCATCATTAAAAGGTGCGACTGCAACGCCTAATGATATACTAGTGTGTATCATTAACCGTCGATTATGTAGATATTTGCTTGCTTCATTAACCGTCGATGTTGCACTGCATTTGTGACGCTTAATGATATAATTCTTTCATTAAGCTGCGATTTAGCATTAGCGGTTGAGAATGTCATCTATTCATGCAATAATTTATGGCATTAAACGTTGCAATTGCAACGCTTAATGCTATTTGTATCATTAAGCGGAGTTTTATCATTAGAGTTTTATCATTAGAGGTTGCTACAGAGCTTGTCACTGAATTTGCAATAGCTCTGGGAATATTCATGGTTATTGCTATTTTGGTCAGCCAAATATGTAAGTTTTGCTTTTTAAGTATATAACTGCTTTTTCTCCCTTTCAGTTGTTCTGAATCATCCTCATATCCAGTGCACTAAAATTAAGGATGTACTGTTACACAGTGTGCCCTACAAGTTCCGAATTCTGGCAAGAGTGGTGGACTTCTTCCCAAGGTTTAACAGACCAACAGATATCTGTAAACTGTACTGCCCAGAGTGCAATTACTTGTAAGACTTTATTGCTCAATGTTTCTTATGATTATTTCAATGTTCAAAGAACTCTAAATTTCATTCAAAAGTCATTTTTGTTTTAAAATATTCGGGGTACATTTTAATTTGAAAGAAAAAAAAACTATTTGTCAGGGATTGTGAAATAAATTTGCCTTCACCATATTTGTATTCAGTTGAAAAAAACCCCTATAAAATCATGTATCCAAAGCAACGCTTGTCACCTATATTTAAAAGGTAGCCTTTTGTTTCCATTTTAAGAAGAGTATTACAGTGATATGAATAAAAAGAAAACAACTTGGAAAATGCAGTTAATTTGGGGGAAAAAATGTATTTCCAAGGGAAAGCTGCCTCTATTAGACTATAATTTTGTATAATTGAAAAACAATGAACCAAAGAACATGATGCACATTCACATTCAGATTTCACTACTCCTGAGTTGACTATGCCTCAGAGATTGAAGATCTTGAAATATAAGTATTTTAAAGTTCAGTGAAAATAGTTTCATTACACATGTAAATAGAACATTATAAACATGATGGTATTCATGTGCATGTTCCAAAAATAGCACAGATAAAAATAGAAAAACCCCACCCCTCCCTCTTTCCAGTTTACATAAAATGTGGTTATTCAAATTTTTTAATGTTGGAAGTTTCTGAAAACTGGCACAAAGAAGAAAAAAAGACCCTCCCCTTTCATTAAAGAAAATCTAAAACAGAGATATTTTACATCAACTCTTGGTTACTTCTCTTAATAATGTAAGTTTCCTAAATAAATTATACATGTACATGTATGTGCAACATAACAGATAGCATGAAGGCATAAAGTTTATCAGTTAAATATTATTGTTTGAGCTGTGGTCCTAGACCATTATGATCACAGAATTTCAGTTTTCTAATGTTCACTGCATGCTGCAGGTTTGGATATTGTACTTTAATAATTTTTATTTTACAGGTGTGATGTCCCTGTCGAAGAAAATGGGTATGTTTCAAAAATAATGTTATTTTTGTTCATTACTCTCTTAAAGTTCATCCCCTTACATCTATAGTTTATATTGTTGCTGTAAATAGTTTATAATGATGCTGTAAATAGTTTATATTGATGCTGTAATTAGTTTATATTGTTGCTGTAAAAAAGTCTGAGAAGACAGAGGATGCTGTTGCAGTAACTATTATTCTCTTAATTTTCAGGAAAAGTAGTTTGAAAATTAGCAGGAGGGGTAGACAATTGAAGCATTACTTATGTCCTGTGTGTAGTAAAGGTAAGTCTTATTTTATATGTAAATAAAACACATTCATGCTCATTTGTGATGATATTGTTTAGGTAATGCATTAAACAAAACATAGATAGACCAATTACAAGCCCCTTTACCTCTTAGATTTCAGAAAACAATCTACTTTCTACAATAATTGAAGACTTTGTGTATTTCAGATTCCCAGTTTGAGTTGGAGTATATCTTTATGATAAGATTTTGTGTATTTCAGATTCCCAGTTTGAGTTGGAGTATATCTTTATGATAAGATTTTGTGTATTTCAGATTCCCAGTTTGAGTTGGAGTATATCTTTATGATGAGATTTTGTGTATTTCAGATTCACAGTTTGAGTTGGAGTATATCTTTAGGATGAGATTTTGTGTATTTCAGATTCCCAGTTTGAGTTGGAGTATATCTTTAGGATGAGATTTTGTGTATTTCAGATTCACAGTTTGAGTTGGAGTATATCTTTATGATAAGATTTTGTGTATTTCAGATTCCCAGTTTGAGTTGGAGTATATCTTTATGAGGAGATTTTGTGTATTTCAGATTCACAATTTGAGTTGGAGTATATCTTTATGATGAGATTTTGTGTATTTCAGATTCACAGTTTGAGTTGGAGTATATCTTTAGGATGAGATTTTGTGTATTTCAGATTCACAATTTGAGTTGGAGTATATCTTTAGGATGAGATTTTGTGTATTTCAGATTCACAGTTTGAGTTGGAGTATATCTTTATGATGAGATTTTGTGTATTTCAGATTCCCAATTTGAGTTGGAGTATATCTTTATGAGGAGATTTTGTGTATTTCAGAGTCACAGTTTGAGTTGGAGTATATATTTATGATGAGATTTTGTGTATTTCAGACTCACAGTTTGAGTTGGAGTATATCTTTATGATGAGATTTTGTGTATTTCAGATTCACAGTTTGAGTTAGAGTATATCTTTAGGATGAGATTTTGTGTATTTCAGATTCACAGTTTGAGTTGGAGTATATCTTTATGAGGAGATTTTGTGTATTTCAGATTCCCAATTTGAGTTGGAGTATATCTTTATGAGGAGATTTTGTGTATTTCAGAGTCACAGTTTGAGTTGGAGTATATATTTATGATGAGATTTTGTGTATTTCAGACTCACAGTTTGAGTTGGAGTATATCTTTATGATGAGATTTTGTGTATTTCAGATTCACAGTTTGAGTTGGAGTATATCTTTAGGATGAGATTTTGTGTATTTCAGATTCACAGTTTGAGTTGGAGTATATCTTTATGAGGAGATTTTGTGTATTTCAGATTCACAGTTTGAGTTGGAGTATATCTTTATGATGAGATTTTGTGTATTTCAGATTCACAATTTGAGTTGGAGTACATCTTTATGAGGAGAGTTTGTGTATTTCAGATTCACAATTTGAGTTGGAGTATATCTTTATGATGAGATTTTGTGTATTTCAGATTCACAATTTGAGTTGGAGTACATCTTTATGAGGAGATTTTGTGTATTTCAGATTCCCAGTTTGAGTTGGAGTATATCTTTATGATGAGATTTTGTGTATTTCAGATTCACAATTTGAGTTGGAGTATATCTTTATGATGAGATTTTGTGTATTTCAGATTCACAGTTTGAGTTGGAGTATATCTTTAGGATGAGATTTTGTGTATTTCAGATTCACAGTTTCAGTTGGAGTATATATTTATGATGAGATTTTGTGTATTTCAGATTCACAGTTTGAGTTGGAGTATATCTTTATGATGAGATTTTGTGTATTTCAGATTCACAGTTTGAGTTGGAGTATATATTTATGATGAGATTTTGTGTATTTCAGATTCACAGTTTGAGTTGGAGTATATCTTTATGATGAGATTTTGTGTATTTCAGATTCACAGTTTGAGTTGGAGTATATATTTATGATGAGATTTTGTGTATTTCAGATTCACAGTTTGAGTTGGAGTATATCTTTATGATGAGATTTTGTGTATTTCAGATTCACAGTTTGAGTTGGAGTATATCTATATGATGAGATTTTGTGTATTTCAGATTCACAGTTTGAGTTGGAGTATATATTTATGATGAGATTTTGTGTATTTCAGATTCACAGTTTGAGTTGGAGTATATCTTTAGGATGAGATTTTGTGTATTTCAGATTCACAGTTTGAGTTGGAGTATATCTTTATGATGAGATTTTGTGTATTTCAGATTCACAATTTGAGCTGGAGTATATCTTTATGAGGAGATTTTGTGTATTTCAGATTCACAATTTGAGCTGGAGTATATCTTTATGAGGAGATTTTGTGTATTTCAGATTCACAGTTTGAGTTGGAGTATATCTTTATGATGAGATTTTGTGTATTACAGATTCACAATTTGAGTTGGAGTATATCTTAAGGATGAGATTTTGTGTATTTCAGATTCACAGTTTGAGTTGGAGTATATCTTTAGGATGAGATTTTGTGTATTTCAGATTCACAGTTTGAGTTGGAGTATATCTTTATGAGGAGATTTTGTGTATTTCAGATTCACAGTTTGAGTTGGAGTATATCTTTATGAGGAGATTTTGTGTATTTCAGATTCACAATTTGAGTTGGAGTACATCTTTATGATGAGAGTTTGTGTATTTCAGATTCACAATTTGAGTTGGAGTATATCTTTATGATGAGATTTTGTGTATTTCAGATTCACAGTTTGAGTTGGAGTATATCTTTAGGATGAGATTTTGTGTATTTCAGATTCACAGTTTCAGTTGGAGTATATATTTATGATGAGATTTTGTGTATTTCAGATTCACAGTTTGAGTTGGAGTATATCTTTATGATGAGATTTTGTGTATTTCAGATTCACAGTTTGAGTTGGAGTATATATTTATGATGAGATTTTGTGTATTTCAGATTCACAGTTTGAGTTGGAGTATATCTTTATGATGAGATTTTGTGTATTTCAGATTCACAGTTTGAGTTGGAGTATATATTTATGATGAGATTTTGTGTATTTCAGATTCACAGTTTGAGTTGGAGTATATCTTTATGATGAGATTTTGTGTATTTCAGATTCACAGTTTGAGTTGGAGTATATCTATATGATGAGATTTTGTGTATTTCAGATTCACAGTTTGAGTTGGAGTATATATTTATGATGAGATTTTGTGTATTTCAGATTCACAGTTTGAGTTGGAGTATATCTTTAGGATGAGATTTTGTGTATTTCAGATTCACAGTTTGAGTTGGAGTATATCTTTATGATGAGATTTTGTGTATTTCAGATTCACAATTTGAGCTGGAGTATATCTTTATGAGGAGATTTTGTGTATTTCAGATTCACAATTTGAGCTGGAGTATATCTTTATGATGAGATTTTGTGTATTTCAGATTCACAGTTTGAGTTGGAGTATATCTTTATGATGAGATTTTGTGTATTACAGATTCACAATTTGAGTTGGAGTATATCTTAAGGATGAGATTTTGTGTATTTCAGATTCACAATTTGAGTTGGAGTATATCTTTATGATGAGATTTTGTGTATTTCAGATTCACAGTTTGAGTTGGAGTATATCTTTATGAGGAGATTTTGTGTATTTCAGATTCATAATTTGAGTTGGAGTATATCTTTATGATGAGAGTTTGTGTATTTCAGATTCATAATTTGAGTTGGAGTATATCTTTATGATGAGAGTTTGTGTATTTCAGATTCACAGTTTGAGTTGGAGTATATATTTATGAGGAGATTTTGTGTATTTCAGATTCCCAGTTTGAGTTGGAGTATATCTTTATGATGAGATTTTGTGTATTTCAGATTCACAATTTGAGTTGGAGTATATCTTTATGAGGAGATTTTGTGTATTTCAGATTCATAATTTGAGCTGGAGTATATCTTTATGATGAGATTTTGTGTATTTCAGATTCACAGTTTGAGTTGGAGTATATCTTTATGAGGAGATTTTGTGTATTTCAGATTCACAATTTGAGCTGGAGTATATCTTTATGATGAGATTTTGTGTATTTCAGATTCACAATTTGAGTTGGAGTATATCTTTATGAGGAGATTTTGTGTATTTCAGATTCCCAGTTTGAGTTGGAGTATATCTTTATGAGGAGATTTTGTGTATTTCAGATTCACAATTTGAGTTGGAGTATATCTTTAGGATGAGATTTTGTGTATTTCAGATTCACAATTTGAGTTGGAGTATATCTTTAGGATGAGATTTTGTGTATTTCAGATTCACAATTTGAGTTGGAGTATATCTTTAGGATGAGATTTTGTGTATTTCAGATTCACAATTTGAGCTGGAGTATATCTTTAGGATGAGATTTTGTGTATTTCAGACTCACAATTTGAGTTGGAGTATATCTTTAGGATGAGATTTTGTGTATTTCAGATTCACAATTTGAGTTGGAGTACATCTTTATGAGGAGATTTTGTGTATTTCAGATTCACAATTTGAGTTGGAGTATATCTTTATGATGAGATTTTGTGTATTTCAGATTCACAGTTTGAGTTGGAGTATATCTTTATGAGGAGATTTTGTGTATTTCAGATTCACAGTTTGAGTTGGAGTACATCTTTATGAGGAGATTTTGTGTATTTCAGATTCACAGTTTGAGTTGGAGTATATCTTTATGAGGAGATTTTGTGTATTTCAGATTCACAGTTTGAGTTGGAGTATATCTTTATGAGGAGATTTTGTGTATTTCAGATTCACAATTTGAGTTGGAGTATATCTTTATGAGGAGATTTTGTGTATTTCAGATTCACAATTTGAGTTGGAGTATATCTTTATGATGAGATTTTGTGTATTTCAGATTCACAATTTGAGTTGGAGTATATCTTTATGAGGAGATTTTGTGTATTTCAGATTCACAATTTGAGTTGGAGTATATCTTTAGGAGGAGATTTTGTGTATTTCAGACTCACAATTTGAGTTGGAGTACATCTTTAGGAGGAGATTTTGTGTATTTCAGATTCACAATTTGAGTTGGAGTATATCTTTATGATGAGATTTTGTGTATTTCAGATTCACAATTTGAGTTGGAGTATATCTTTATGAGGAGATTTTGTGTATTTCAGATTCACAATTTGAGTTGGAGTACATCTTTATGAGGAGATTTTGTGTATTTCAGATTCACAATTTGAGTTGGAGTATATCTTTATGAGGAGATTTTGTGTATTTCAGATTCACAGTTTGAGTTGGAGTATATCTTTATGAGGAGATTTTGTGTATTTCAGATTCACAATTTGAGTTGGAGTATATCTTTATGAGGAGATTTTGTGTATTTCAGATTCACAATTTGAGCTGGAGTATATCTTTATGATGAGATTTTGTGTATTTCAGATTCACAATTTGAGCTGGAGTATATCTTTATGAGGAGATTTTGTGTATTTCAGATTCACAATTTGAGCTGGAGTATATCTTTATGAGGAGATTTTGTGTATTTCAGATTCACAATTTGAGTTGGAGTATATCTTTATGAGGAGATTTTGTGTATTTCAGATTCACAATTTGAGTTGGAGTATATCTTTATGAGGAGATTTTGTGTATTTCAGATTCACAATTTGAGTTGGAGTATATCTTTATGAGGAGATTTTGTGTATTTCAGATTCACAATTTGAGTTGGAGTATATCTTTAGGATGAGATTTTGTGTATTTCAGATTCACAATTTGAGTTGGAGTATATCTTTATGAGGAGATTTTGTGTATTTCAGATTCACAATTTGAGTTGGAGTATATCTTTATGATGAGATTTTGTGTATTTCAGATTCACAATTTGAGTTGGAGTATATCTTTATGAGGAGATTTTGTGTATTTCAGATTCCCAGTTTGAGTTGGAGTATATCTTTATGAGGAGATTTTGTGTATTTCAGATTCACAATTTGAGTTGGAGTATATCTTTAGGATGAGATTTTGTGTATTTCAGATTCACAATTTGAGTTGGAGTATATCTTTAGGATGAGATTTTGTGTATTTCAGATTCACAATTTGAGTTGGAGTATATCTTTAGGATGAGATTTTGTGTATTTCAGATTCACAATTTGAGCTGGAGTATATCTTTAGGATGAGATTTTGTGTATTTCAGATTCACAATTTGAGTTGGAGTATATCTTTATGAGGAGATTTTGTGTATTTCAGATTCACAATTTGAGTTGGAGTATATCTTTATGATGAGATTTTGTGTATTTCAGATTCACAGTTTGAGTTGGAGTATATCTTTATGAGGAGATTTTGTGTATTTCAGATTCACAGTTTGAGTTGGAGTACATCTTTATGAGGAGATTTTGTGTATTTCAGATTCACAGTTTGAGTTGGAGTATATCTTTATGAGGAGATTTTGTGTATTTCAGATTCACAGTTTGAGTTGGAGTATATCTTTATGAGGAGATTTTGTGTATTTCAGATTCACAATTTGAGTTGGAGTATATCTTTATGAGGAGATTTTGTGTATTTCAGATTCACAATTTGAGTTGGAGTATATCTTTATGAGGAGATTTTGTGTATTTCAGATTCACAATTTGAGTTGGAGTATATCTTTAGGAGGAGATTTTGTGTATTTCAGATTCACAATTTGAGTTGGAGTATATCTTTAGGAGGAGATTTTGTGTATTTCAGATTCACAATTTGAGTTGGAGTACATCTTTAGGAGGAGATTTTGTGTATTTCAGATTCACAATTTGAGTTGGAGTATATCTTTATGATGAGATTTTGTGTATTTCAGATTCACAATTTGAGTTGGAGTATATCTTTATGATGAGATTTTGTGTATTTCAGATTCACAATTTGAGTTGGAGTACATCTTTATGAGGAGATTTTGTGTATTTCAGATTCACAATTTGAGTTGGAGTATATCTTTATGAGGAGATTTTGTGTATTTCAGATTCACAGTTTGAGTTGGAGTATATCTTTATGAGGAGATTTTGTGTATTTCAGATTCACAATTTGAGTTGGAGTATATCTTTATGAGGAGATTTTGTGTATTTCAGATTCACAATTTGAGCTGGAGTATATCTTTATGAGGAGATTTTGTGTATTTCAGATTCACAATTTGAGCTGGAGTATATCTTTATGAGGAGATTTTGTGTATTTCAGATTCACAATTTGAGCTGGAGTATATCTTTATGATGAGATTTTGTGTATTTCAGATTCACAATTTGAGTTGGAGTATATCTTTATGAGGAGATTTTGTGTATTTCAGATTCACAATTTGAGTTGGAGTATATCTTTATGAGGAGATTTTGTGTATTTCAGATTCACAATTTGAGTTGGAGTATATCTTTAGGAGGAGATTTTGTGTATTTCAGATTCACAATTTGAGTTGGAGTATATCTTTATGAGGAGATTTTGTGTATTTCAGATTCACAATTTGAGTTGGAGTATATCTTTAGGATGAGATTTTGTGTATTTCAGATTCACAATTTGAGTTGGAGTATATCTTTATGAGGAGATTTTGTGTATTTCAGATTCACAATTTGACTTGGAGTATATCTTTATGATGAGATTTTGTGTATTTCAGATTCACAATTTGACTTGGAGTATATCTTTATGATGAGATTTTGTGTATTTCAGATTCACAATTTGAGTTGGAGTATATCTTTATGATGAGATTTTGTGTATTTCAGATTCACAATTTGAGTTGGAGTATATCTTTATGAGGAGATTTTGTGTATTTCAGATTCACAATTTGAGTTGGAGTACATCTTTATGAGGAGATTTTGTGTATTTCAGATTCCCAGTTTGAGTTGGAGTATATCTTTATGAGGAGATTTTGTGTATTTCAGATTCACAATTTGAGTTGGAGTATATCTTTATGAGGAGATTTTGTGTATTTCAGATTCACAATTTGAGTTGGAGTATATCTTTATGATGAGATTTTGGTTAAGGGATAAATCAGGGGAGATAGTGGTTAACATTTGGAGGAAGGATGCAGTAAGTATTGTCTTGGTTTTTTTTTTACCTTCTTTAACATCAGAAATCTCATCATTTTTTTTTTACCTTTACCTTGACAGGGTAGATGTTTAAAAAATCAACAAACAAGCAAAATCAAGCAAACTCAAACTAGAAATTTTGCCTAAAGGCTAAACATTGAGGGCATTTTTTTTTAAAGTATTCATTTTCACCTGTCTTCAACTAGTGTTGTACCAAGGATACGAAATAAAATGATTAACAAACAAAAAAAAGCTACTAATTCTGATGATTCATAATCAATCATCAGATTGACACATTTCACTTTAAGAACTCGGGAATAAGATTGTTTTTGTTTTCACTTTACTTGCACTGGAAGAACAAATATGGCATCATGATTGACAACCAAAAGATGCATGTATAAAAAGTGCATAAGCAGCACAACGTGGAAATGATGAAAATTAATGTATAAATTCAGAAAGCATTTAAAAAAAAAATGCAAGATTATCCTTACAAAAGTAAAAATTTAATCCATAAATTTGCATCAGAAGCAGCAAATGATGATCAATTATGAAAATGCCCCATCACTATCTTCAATTTTGACCTTGGTGATCATTTTTACTGAATTTTTTTCTGACATACTTGGCTAAAAAAGATCAAGGGCATGTCAGATCAAGTTCAAAAATCAAACCTTATCTATGGAAGTGTAACTGCCACCTTAGTAATTTCCAGGATCCCCCCCCCCCCCCCAAAAAAAAAAAACAAAAGTCTCACAAACACTTCTTTAATCCAAAATAATTGTAAAATCTTACTGTGGAATAGGACAGGATTGTATTAGTTAATCTTTTTTTTTTTGTTTGGTTACAGGTGACCTTTTTCCAGGATATAACTCCAGTAGAAATGCTAACAGAACCTGCTTTGTGTACTGTGATAGAGAACTGTCTAAATGTAATCTGTGATCCTGACAAGAGTGATTGCCCTTGGTTTGAATGTTGTATAAAATCATACAATACTCAGATGGGAGTACACTATCAGATTTTTGACACCTGTTTAGTATGACCATAAAATTGAATATTGTTATGTAAGATTTATTATAAAGTGGTGCTTCTTTTGTTATTGTCATCTAAACCTGAACACAAATCATTTGATACAGTGCATGTATATGTAATTTTTAATATTAAAAAAAAATTGCCATTAAAAATTTGTCAGGGGTTGAATAATTGATTAATACATTTATGGAAAATGAGATCTTGAATTTCGTCAAAGTAAGATGGCAAGATTATTTTTAGGTCACTTGAATTGCTTAGGTGACATATTGCTATCTGTTTTTGTCTGTCATTGTGTGTATCTGTGCATTGAAACTTCTACTTATTCTACAAAACCACTGGATCAAATTCAACCAACTTGCCATAAAGTATTCTTGGATGAAGGGGATTAAAATTTGTTTCAATAAAGGGCCACGCCTCTTGAACGCAGAGATAATTTTTTTTTAAAAAGTGAAAATTTGGTTTGTTAGTATAAAAAATCTTTTTCTCAAGAACCATGGGCTAGAAAAGATGAAATCATATGAAAGCTTCCAACATGGTGTAGATTCACTTTGTTAAAATCTTGATCTCCTGGGAAAGGATTTAGCCACTATAGGGGATTAAAGTTTTACATGGGAATGTATAAAGAGAAAAATGTTTAAAAATCTTTCTCAAGAACAAGAGGGCCATAATAGTCATATTAATATGCAAGCAACCTCAGGTAGTGCAAATTCACTTCTGTTCAAATTGTGACTGTGGTCCATGGGCCTCTTGTTAGTCCCCTATCGGTGAAACCGGAGGGGACTTTAGGTTTCGTCTGAGTCTGTCCGTCCGTCTGTCAGTCTGTCCCACTTGGTTTTCTGCACTTTTTTCCTAAATGCTTGCAGATATTGAGCTGATTTTTGGTATGTGAGTGTATCTTGATGAGTTACAGATCAAGTTTGCATTTCATTCCACTTCATTGATTTTTGACGGAATTATGGCCTTTTCAATTTTTAAGGGTTTTCCGCAATTTCCTTCTAAAAAAAATCTTTGACAAGCCCAAAAGAAGGAGAGGAGAGGTCTCCAAAATAATATTGTGTGTGTGGGATGGATAGGTTAGGTTCCATGAACATTTGAGAGATTTGAATATAGATCAAAAAGGGTGAGGGCTACCAGCCTTACAATGAACATTTTCATACTAAATTAATAGTAAGAAATTACTTTAGAAAACACACACACCACGTGCCTGAATGTTATGTTCACCTGTGTGGAAGTCAGGTGCAGGTGAAATAACTTTTCATAACTAACTATCGGCACCGTGTAATTCATGGACTGGAGGCATGGAGTGGAGTTTGGAGTCAAATTTTGGAGTCTTAAGATTTTTTTTAAAAAAATATGAATGGAAAAAGATGTTCAAGAAATCGCATTAGTATGAAAGTTTTTCATTCTTTTTTGTATACGATTGTTGGCTGTTTCAAGTCTTTTAACTAAACAGATTTACAATTCATAGCTACGATGACCTAATTAAAATTTGTAAGTTTCTGAAAGTTACGTAAGTATTTGTAACTTGAGAAAATTACATCAGTATTGAATAGACAGACATGATATTGACAAGATAACCCCTGTTCTTTGAAAATGTTTGGAGTCTGTTGAACATAATTAATCAACAGATATAGTCGGTCTAACTGGTTGTTTAAATACAGTTTAATTGGACGTGTTAACAAACCTGTCGAGAGCTATTAGGCTCAGAGTTTAAAGCAATTTATAAAAATGCAGTTTTTAAATATTACACTCACCTATTCATTACCTTCCATGTGAAATTATAAAAAAATAAATGATAATTAGTTTTTTAAAAAAGTTTTACACTTTATACCACTGTTATATGTGTACTAAAAGGTCCACTCACTCCCTTGTATTATAAGCGATATAGCGATTACAATACTAATCTCTCTCACTTTTCCTGGGGTTGTCGATATCTCACCCTCAGAAACAACAAATTCAGCTATGGGTCATTTGACACTTCAAGTAGAAAGCAATGTGTTAATTGTTTTTACTCCAGTTCATCTTTATAACGGTAAACATTGAATAAACTGTCAATTTTCTAATTGATATTGGAAGATTACATTGGCTCATAGAGAAAAGCCAAATTCCTCACATCCATGCGAAACAAACAATGGAATGAGATTCAGTTTAAAATAACTAATGAACTTAAAATGTCAACCAAGGGGGGCAACTTGTGCTTTTGACTTCATTTTGTTAGATGACAGATGCAGAGTGAAATGAAAACACCTAACTTAGGTCAGATTTATCAGCAACTATCTACACAGAAAAAATCATACTATCATGACAGATTTAATTAATTCAACACTATTAACTGAAAGAAATGCTTTCTCAGTTTTTGCTGATAATAGTAAATTTGTAATCAAATAATACCTTCAGTGATAAACTAATTGAAAGTATTTCCGCTGGGGTACTCTAAAATGGCTCAAATTTCTATGTTAGAACTCTGGGTGGTCTGCGCATGCGTGAGAAATAGTGGAGCCACAAATTTTCGGTCTGTATATTTTTGGAAATTTCTCAGTTTTTTCGTCTTAAAAAAACATTCGCAATGTTTCTTCCATTATGGTATGTAATGGGACAAGATAAGGAAAAGAAAAAATCGAAAAAAAGGAAAAACAAAACGCTGAATACAAGTGGTGAAAGTGAACAAAAAATCCAAGTGAATTCAACTCAGTCAGCCATTGCCATTACACGTATAAGAAGTTCAGTAAACACACTGGGCATGGATCCGTCATTCAACAATGGAGTGGTCAGTGGAATCAACGGGACTTCTCAAAACTCGTCCCCTAGCATACAGTTTCAAGGTAATCAACTACATGTACAACCTTATATGCCACAAAGTCCACAAGGACAATTTGCAGGTTATCTGTCGCCAATACAAAACCAATCGAACACTAGTACTGTTCCTCAGAGTATTGATATACGCGAAACTCTGTCAGTTATATGTAACAAACTTGAATATGTGTCATCTAAACTAAATACCCTGGATCATATAGATAAAAGGTTAAGTGACCTTGAACGAAATGTAAGTAGTGTAAATCAAGAACTCAAAGAACTGAAAAATATGAAAGTTAAAGTTGAAGACATTGAGAAGGGAATGAGCCACATTTCAGGACAGTATGATGAACAACAAAAGGCTGTCGAGGAAATCGAGCGGACAGTGAAAGATATAGACAAAAGGTCGACATCAACATTGAAAGAAAATGAAGCGATGCGTGAAGAACTCAAAGCAGTACGGTTAGACTTGAGTGACCTTAAAGAACATCACCTAGATTTACAGACAAGGTCAATGAGAGATAACCTAATATTTGACGGGATACCAGAAACTCATGATGAAGACGCAGAGACTTTGATAAAAGACTTTATTAAGAACGAGCTGAATATCACAGACAACATTGAATTCCATCGGGTTCATAGAATGGGGAGGAAAGGTGGAACCAGACCGCGGCCGATAGTTGCAAAATTTGTGCTGCACAAAGACCGAGAAAGAGTTAGACATGCAGCCCCTGGATCTTTAGCTGACAAGCCATATGGAATTAACGAACAATTCCCGAAAGAAATCAATGAACGGCACAAACAACTATATCCACAGTACAAAGCCGCCAAAAGACAGGGGGAAAGGGCTACACTTGTTGTTGACAAGCTTTTCGTCGAGGGACAATTGGTGCCATTACAGACCAACCATTTAGGAGACCGATTATCATTTCCAGCATTTGAAAACCGCGCGGCGCCGCCGCCGGACACAGCGCACGTAAACATCAGGAATGCGAACACGCACTAGGACAACCAAGGAGAACTGCACAAACAGGACTTGCAATGTGTAAACAATGAGACGAAAAACTCTCTCAACACGTTGAAAATAATTAGTCTAAACGTTTGCGGACTCACATCAAAATTACAAAATCCTGAATTTATCGAATTTATAAATGAAAATGATATTATTTGCCTAACAGTATAAGTTTGAACAACTTTTTAATACAAAAAATACAGTTAAGTTGATAAAACTGTGTAAATTTATAAAAATTATCTATGAGAGAGTTGGCTCTCCTGGTTAGGTCATTGTTAGCTTTTTGACTTTGTACTTTTTCTGTTTCACGCATGCACATATATTTAACTATATTTGTCAAAAAAGAATCAACTGTTACAGACCATTAGCTTTATACTATCACAATGTCCAAGACAATCTTCTGATTTAGTAATTCTGGTAATATTACAATTGAAATTTAATGTCAATATTATAATAGCTTTCCTTCCATATATATTTTATTGATAAACAAATGTGTAAATATATTGTTTAATGTTTTTTTTTTTCTCTGATTATGTAAAAATCAGATTATAATTTGAGGTGATCTGTCTTACCAGTTAATTATGTACTTTTTAGTTGTTGATATCTAATTAGATCTGTCAACTCTTTATGGGTTCCCTAACGTCAGATCACTGATAAATCAGACCTAAGTTAGATGTTTTAATTTCACCCAGCATCTGTTTTCTAACAAACTTCAATCAAGGCAGAAGCTGCCCTCCTTGGTTGACACTTTTAGGTCATTGGTTATTTTTTTTATTCCGTTGTTCCTTGTTTCTTGTTTCTCGTTTCGTGTTTTACACATACCCCAGTTTCAGAGATTTTAACCATTTAATTTTGGAGTATGTGACATAGTGTTGAATTAACTTAGTTCTCCACAGAATAGCATGCATGTACCAGGGTATTAAAATCATTGCATTATATGGGAGTTTATATAAATGTTATCATCCCTTAACCAGCATCACAGTGCATTCCTTCCCATTAACTTCTAAATTGATAAAATTGTGAGTCACCAATGTATTGTATTTATATTATAGTATCATAATATTATTTAATTATTCAAGTAAATTCATGTGAATTATTGATAATCTTTTTTTAAAGTCACATTTTAAGATACTAAAATGATGGCTGCAAATCTTAAGTAAATTATATAGAGAGAAAAATAATCTATCATTTTCTAATGTGGATTACATGGATGTGAACAAATGTCAAAAATCAAATAACCTTGTAACAATATATACTGAAACGCAAAAGAAACGCAACAAGCAGTAATCTACAAATATTTGAACCTTTTAACTTATGATTTTCAAAACTGATT